CGCCTACGTATGAAAACGACGAACGCGCTACACATGTTGGGTATCGCCGCGCACGCCGGAGTGAGAGCAATAATTCTAGGGCCAGTATTTTGGGGTATCTCTAAATTGATGACCTGTGGGGGCTTTAAAAGCGTCTTCTGTGGACTTTTTGGGGTACTGCAGTTTTTCGCCGTTTCACGGACGCACACAATTTGTAAACTGGGCATGTTGGGTATCGTTTTACTCGTTGTAACCTCATCTTTTATATTTAATTTAAAAAATGGGTATTTTGTTGTGTTTTGGGGCATTTAATTAAATTTGTCACTAAATTTTGGGGTTTAATAAGGAGTTGCGCTAATATTGCGCAACATAAAAATTTGCAACTACCACCATTATATTGTATAGGGTCTTTGGCATTCAGAAAATATATAATGTGTGGGGGTTTTAAGTCATTGTCAGGCCTAAAATGTGGAATATAACATGGGTGCAAAAAATTTAAAAAAAGGCCTCAGTCATGAAGGGGTTAAGACTAGCTTTCTTCAGCACTCTCTTGTTGGTAAATCTAAGTGATATTGTACGATTAGATTTTAAAGGTATTGTCAACTATACAATCTACTTATGTTTCAATTAAAACAATATACGTTTCACCGTGTGCATGAGGCTTAACAATGCTATACATGTTACATGTGGATTAGAGAATCTACTTTAGGTTTACCAACAACTATGTAGGGCTACCTGATTGGATGTAAAACTGAAGTTATTGTTAGCAACGCCCTCCCACTACATAATTTTTGGTAAACCTAAGGGATATTGTACAGTGATTTAAAACTAGACTAATTCGTGTGGTGGGCATAAGACTTTAAATTCAGCCCACCAGATTGGAGGCGTCTGTTATTATTCCTATGTAATACTTAGTATTTGTATTCTGCAAATGTTTCTGCAGCTGGATGGGGCACAGAGAGACTTCCTGGAGAACAAACAAAACATGGAAATTCTGCTGACTGAAAATAAGGTAATTAAAAACTCAGCGGATATTACACTATTGCAAGCGATATGTTTTTTCGGTTTATTGTAATTTCACTACAATGGTGAGTGATGGTTATCAGTGATGCCTAGCTTATTATGTCTTTTATAAATATATATACTGTATATATTTTTTTCATTCATTCCTGTTTTAAAACAACATGGCTTTAATTTGGGAAATAAAGTGTTATCCTATTAGATTACATGAAGTGACATACTTAATAGTGAAAACAGAATTAAAATGATAGCTCTAGAGCCTGCACATTATAAAAAAAGTCAGCAATAGCAGCTCACATATTTCTGTCCTTACATGGCACTTTATGTATGCTAAATTAGCTTTTCTGGTGACAGCTACAAGGCTTTACAGAGAGCTTGGATATGTAATTTTGTAACTTGTAAATACATGTGCTCTAATTGGCAAAAAAAGCATGTAACACACCCTGCATTTTAGTGATCTCCTTTTGTAATTACAAACTTTACACATACTGTATATCCATTTTAGAGCTTATTCCAACATTCACAGTGAAGTAAGCAGGTTCTGAATTCATTTATCCAGTATAAACATCATGCAACCTTTAAGAGGAACTTTTACCCACCAATTTAATGTCTCCCAAAACAATTACTTTTCAGGCACACCAACTGTCAAGGTTGCCAGTGTGTTTATTTCAGGTCTCAACCAAACTTTCAAGCCCTAAAATGACTAGTGTCATAGCTGATCACATGTGCAATGCCATGGAAATTTCAGTCCAGAGGCTAAAGCTGGCCACACACGATGTGAATTTTGCTTGTTTCTTCATGAAACGGCTGAAATTCACACAGTGGGTGACGCTGTTGCCACCCTTTCAGATTGCATTCCTCAATCAGATCGATTGAACGGTGCTTGCAGCTAATCAGCCGGTGGCTGCTGTCAGAATACAAAGGAAAGAGCGGTGGATTCATCTATCAACGCTCTTAAACATTGATGGAGGAATTTGTTCTATTATTTTCCTTCAGCCCATGGGTTGCAATCTTGCAATAGTACAATAGAAGCAATACTTACTTTGTATTGAGTGTTTGGATCATTCCTGAGAAAATAACTGACAAATGTGAAGAAAAATTTAAATGATTGAAATAAGAGATACCTAAACAATGGATTGTTAGCATCAAAAGATTATTTTCTGTATCAATATGTTTATTGAGATTTTCACATAACAAACACAATAAAGACCTCGGTCCACAGTGTATCAATGCTTCAAGTATTCATTACAATCCAGAGTGTACAAGTAGATTTACATGTGATACATAAGCATATTCAAGGAGTAGGGAGACCTTGCATTCGCAAGTGCTTAAATAACACAAGCGACTCCATAGCATATACTGTGACGCAAGTACCCTGTCCCCCGGCAGTGGGCCGGTGATCAACCAAAAACTTAAGGCGGGAAAAGGCCCCAGAAAACAGGAAATCGGGGGAAAGGAGGAAAAGGGTGTCATGGGGGGTAATAGTGGCCGGTCATTTTACCACTATATACATAAGCATATTCAAGGAGTAGGGAGACCTTGCATTCGCAAGTGCTTAAATAACACAAGCGACTCCATAGCATATACTGTGACGCAAGTACCCTGTCCCCCGGCAGTGGGCCGGTGATCAACCAAAAACTTAAGGCGGGAAAAGGCCCCAGAAAACAGGAAATCGGGGGAAAGGAGGAAAAGGGTGTCAGGGGGGGTAATAGTGGCCGGTCATTTTACCACTAGGGGGGGGGTCCCATAATTGCATACATCAAACCTCCTACGGGACATCCAAGGCTCCCGCCCTACGCTTCACACCCGGATAGCCAATAGCAGCACACTCCACCTTATATACCTCTGTAGCTCATTGGGTCTATCCCTGGGTGGTTGGATGAAAGCCATGGTTCCCATACACTCAGGAACCTGGTATGTTTGTCCTCCAAAATACTAGACAGCCGCTCATTAAGCATAATATGATCCAACCTCTGTTTAAATTCTCCATAAGGGATTTGTTGTTTCTTCCAGTTTCCTGCAACCGTCAGTTTGGCTGCCAGGAAAATAAAGTGCGTCAGAGCCCTCTGAGGCTTACTCAATCCCGGTACGGACATGTGGAACAGGGCATACTGGAATTTGAGTGGGATATGTGTAGTGAGTAGGGAGCCAATTAATTTAAATATCTTGACCCAGAACCGTGTAGCCAGGGGGCAGCGCCACCAGATGTGCAGCATGTCCCCCTTTTCTCCGCACCCTCGGAAACAGGTACCGGGGGCTGTGGGGAACAGGCGCGCCACCCTGGCTGGGACCAGATACCACCTCATTATTACCTTATAGGCTACCTCAGCATTTGTGATGCTAATAGAGCATTTTGCTACATTGTGCCAAATCTGCTGCCATTCCTTCATGGACCATCGACGGGGCAGGTCCCCCTCCCAGTTGCGAACATAAGTGTGGGAGGTGTGGCTGATCAATCTATTTAGTTGTGAATAGAGTACTGTTATTAGGCCAGGGCCCTCTGGGGCGTGAAAACACACATGTTCAAAGCATGTGAATAGATTAGTAGGATCTCTCCTCAGGGTTAGAGTGGAGATCCAATGGTGAAGTTGACGATATCTATAATGTTCTACTCCCGGTATTTGATGATGGTCCCTCAAGTATTGCCAGGAAGGAATGGCAGAGGAGCGCAGAAGGTCATGCACTGTTCGGAAACCGTTGTTTATCCACCAACTAAAGGCCTTGGGGTTGTCCAGGCCAGGCCGGAAGAGTGGTTGGGCAAACAGGGGAAGCAATGGGAGGTATGGCGAAAGCAAGCGCGCCGAGTATTTAATAGAGTCCCACACCTTAAGTGTATACATCATGAGGGGGCTAAGAGTCCTAGGTCTATCACAGGCTGGCAACCAGGGTAAAGCCGTGAGAGGCATAGGGGAGCAATTCGGGATTTCCAACATAAGCCATAGTGGGGGCAAGTGGCGCTGATGCATAGTTATCAGTGGTATGATTTGAGCAGCTTGATAGTATTGCAGTATGTTGGGGAGGCTCACCCCACCATCGAGTTTACGTTTGTATAGAGTGGTTCTTGCCACCCGAGCTCTGAGGGGGTGCCAGATAAACTGGAGGATACTCCGCTGCATTGAGCGCATTATATGAGGGGGTATTCGCACTGGCAGTGTTCTAAAGTAATATAAGAGTTTGGGCACTAGTGTCATCTTAACTGCTGAAATTTTCCCCAACCAGGATAGATTATGGGTCGACCATGATGTGAGTAATTGTTTCAATGTTTTGAACAAAGGAACATAATTTGCGGAATACAGGGTTTCATAAGATGCCGTAATTTTAACCCCTAGATACCTAATGTAGGATTTAGCCCAGGTGAATGAAAAATTGGTACGAACATGCTCATATGTCAAGGCGGGTAAAGATATATTCAGAGCAGCGGATTTCCCCCAGTTCACTGACGGCCCCGAGATAACGGAGAACTGTTGTAGGAGGTGGAGCAGGTTGGGAACTGTGGTGTGCGGCTGCGTCAGGGTAAGCATAACATCATCTGCGAACAGGCTAGCCTTATACTCCACTCCCGCAAGTTCAATTCCCTTGATGTTGGCGCTAGAGCGAATGAGTATGGCCAGGGGTTCAATTGCCAATGCAAAAAGAGCTGGGGACAGTGGGCATCCTTGGCGGGTTCCCCGGCGGATAGGGATCTCCTGGGATAGATGCCCCAGATATTTTACCTGGGCCATTGGATTAGAGTATAGGACCCGTAACCACACTAGAAAGGATTCTCCGAAACCCCATTTATGGAGGATATATTGTAGGTATTCCCAAGAGATAGAATCGAATGCCCTCTGTAGATCTAGTGATAACAGGAAACCCGGGATGTTACGGGACTGGAGGACATGGATCAGGTGGATTATTTTGCGGACATTATCTCCTGCCTGTCTACCAGGAATAAAGCCCACTTGGTCTCTATGAACGATACTGGGGAGAATGGAATTGAGCCGTGTGGCGAGGATTTTAGTTAGAATTTTGATATCCACGTTCAGTAGAGATATGGGCCGATAGTTATTGGGGTCTAGTGTGTCTTTGTCAGGTTTGGGAATCATGGATACGTAGGCTAGGAGTGAGGAGGGGTGCAATGTTCGGCCTTGTCTGAGGGAGTTGAACACAGCGGCCAGTTTAGGTGCTAGGAGGGGAGCCAGTTTTTTATAGTAAAGGGTGGGGGGGGGTCCCATAATTGCATACATCAAACCTCCTACGGGACATCCAAGGCTCCCGCCCTACGCTTCACACCCGGATAGCCAATAGCAGCACACTCCACCTTATATACCTCTGTAGCTCATTGGGTCTATCCCTGGGTGGTTGGATGAAAGCCATGGTTCCCATACACTCAGGAACCTGGTATGTTTGTCCTCCAAAATACTAGACAGCCGCTCATTAAGCATAATATGATCCAACCTCTGTTTAAATTCTCCATAAGGGATTTGTTGTTTCTTCCAGTTTCCTGCAACCGTCAGTTTGGCTGCCAGGAAAATAAAGTGCGTCAGAGCCCTCTGAGGCTTACTCAATCCCGGTACGGACATGTGGAACAGGGCATACTGGAATTTGAGTGGGATATGTGTAGTGAGTAGGGAGCCAATTAATTTAAATATCTTGACCCAGAACCGTGTAGCCAGGGGGCAGCGCCACCAGATGTGCAGCATGTCCCCCTTTTCTCCGCACCCTCGGAAACAGGTACCGGGGGCTGTGGGGAACAGGCGCGCCACCCTGGCTGGGACCAGATACCACCTCATTATTACCTTATAGGCTACCTCAGCATTTGTGATGCTAATAGAGCATTTTGCTACATTGTGCCAAATCTGCTGCCATTCCTTCATGGACCATCGACGGGGCAGGTCCCCCTCCCAGTTGCGAACATAAGTGTGGGAGGTGTGGCTGATCAATCTATTTAGTTGTGAATAGAGTACTGTTATTAGGCCAGGGCCCTCTGGGGCGTGAAAACACACATGTTCAAAGCATGTGAATAGATTAGTAGGATCTCTCCTCAGGGTTAGAGTGGAGATCCAATGGTGAAGTTGACGATATCTATAATGTTCTACTCCCGGTATTTGATGATGGTCCCTCAAGTATTGCCAGGAAGGAATGGCAGAGGAGCGCAGAAGGTCATGCACTGTTCGGAAACCGTTGTTTATCCACCAACTAAAGGCCTTGGGGTTGTCCAGGCCAGGCCGGAAGAGTGGTTGGGCAAACAGGGGAAGCAATGGGAGGTATGGCGAAAGCAAGCGCGCCGAGTATTTAATAGAGTCCCACACCTTAAGTGTATATGGGGCAAGCTGTCTACCGAAGAGGAGTCAAATACCTCAGGTGCAGCTGCTGTGGCCGCACGTGTCCCCTCGCGGCGTGGTGTGGCCGCCATCTTGGGCTCCTTTCTCCCTCTGCTGAATCGCGGCTCCTTCTGCCGTCTGCTGCGTCTCATCCCCACGTTCAGCGCTCGATCAGCGTGCCCGATGTCTCCCGAGCATGGGGCATCAGACGGCACATGCGAGGTGAGCTTCCGTTAGCTTTATGCTGCCGTCCCGGGGATCGATGGTGCAGAGCTCGTCTAGACCGCGGCCATCTTGGTCAGCGGTTCGCCACGCCCCCTCCAAAAGATTATTTTCTATCTGTGCCTGAAAGAGGTTTGATGTGGGGAAATAGACTCAGGCACTCATGAGAGACCGTGCAGAGATTCAAATGGTTGTGTTAGTAGATGCAGCTCAAATATATTATTATTATACAGGATTTATATAGCACCAACAGTTTGCGCAGCGATTTACAATATAAGGAATACATTACAATCACAAAACAATTCATTGTGGCCGCCATCTTGGGCTCCTTTCTCCCTCTGCTGAATCGCGGCTCCTTCTGCCGTCTGCTGCGTCTCATCCCCACGTTCAGCGCTCGATCAGCGTGCCCGATGTCTCCCGAGCATGGGGCATCAGACGGCACATGCGAGGTGAGCTTCCGTTAGCTTTATGCTGCCGTCCCGGGGATCGATGGTGCAGAGCTCGTCTAGACCGCGGCCATCTTGGTCAGCGGTTCGCCACGCCCCCTCCAAAAGATTATTTTCTATCTGTGCCTGAAAGAGGTTTGATGTGGGGAAATAGACTCAGGCACTCATGAGAGACCGTGCAGAGATTCAAATGGTTGTGTTAGTAGATGCAGCTCAAATATATTATTATTATACAGGATTTATATAGCACCAACAGTTTGCGCAGCGATTTACAATATAAGGAATACATTACAATCACAAAACAATTCAAGACAAGATGGTAAGGAGTGCACTGCCCCTGAGGGCTTACACTCTAAAAGGGGAGGTCCATGGTAGTAATGTGGTATACATATTGTATATGCATGTAAACTCTGAGTACATGAGTACCAAGGTCTCATAAGTGCTGTATTAATTTAAGACCCACTCTGGGATACCTTCACCAAATCTTTCCTATTGGTCCCCTCATTTTAATTATGATCCTTCTGTATTAAGCAAGGGTATAATGCAGCCCAAAACCAAAAATATAGGTATTTGTGCCGTTATTAGTGTGCACTTTTTTATCATGTCTGCCTGGGCTTTGTGGGTGGGCACACAGTGGCGCCCATGTCATTTCCCCATCTCTCTTCTGCCCACAGTAAACTACACATCCAATTAAAGGTATGTGGGCGTGTCGGATTCTTGCCCTTTGTCAATGCCCATTCTCCTAAAGTAATATGCTGTGCGGTCGGGCAGTAGCGCAGAGTAAATAAAATGAACCACATGCGGGCTGAGGCGGCACTGGGACCTGGTGCCATTACAGTGCTGATCTTCTTGTCAGAATCTCCTGCTTTAATGTCGTGAGGCACAATATACACAGGGCAAGCCTGAGCAGGCGTGGGTGGGAATGTGAAAGAGGCATGAATTTCAATCTCATTTAGCATACCATCACCGACTGTTCCTTACATGCTGACGTGATGACATCTGCAATATCCCCAAATCAAACTACATAGGGGGGTGAAGGAACCGTTCACCCTGCTATGGGTAGAGCAGGCACTATTGTCTGGTTCCCTGGACAGGAAAATTCTATCATATGCCTTCTGAAGATGTACTTTGAAGGTGGATCTGAGGAGAATGCTGCTGCTTCAAGGTACATGGCGCTAATATTGTTGCTAGTTATATGTGTGCCTAACAGATTGCTGAAAATAAGCTTATCCCGAAGTAAGACTTTAACTTACTTCCAAACTGAATGTGAGTTGCTCTTTCATTGTGGTTTAATTGTGTAAAATATATTACTGTATGTATTGCATCTGACATTATACTTTATCCTGCAGCTAGAGTTAAGTTCTGTACAGGCTTCTCTTTTGGCACATGAGAAGGAAAATAAGCGACTTATGGATCAGCTGGCAGTGCTGGAGCAGGAACAGGTAAGTGTAGTGTCCACTTGCCCAGCAGAGAAATTATGGTTTCAACTAGCATTTTCTGTCAACTTTTCTATATTCTCACTTTGACTTAGTACTTCTAGTATGCTCCAGGCTTTACTAAAGTTGGCCATACGCTACTCGAATTTTGGCGGAGTCCTGCTGACTCAGGAGTTTAAGTTGTGTGTGGCTCTGTCGCTACCCCTCTGTTCAATAAAAGTTTTTTCTTTTGTTGAAGGAGCCAGGACAGAAATTGTCAGCCAAACAGTATTTTTAGCCAGTCAGCGGAAGTCACTATTCTGACAGTTGTGGGTGCCAGCTATGAGGATTTAATAGCCAGGCAGGGAAGATTTCCCCATCCACGTTGTTTAGGGAAGTAGAGTGTTCAACCCCGAGGGCTGAGGGAGAAAAAAAATGCAAGAGTATGGCCAGCATACGTTTCTGTTGTACTCCAAAAAAATGGGCTGAAAATCTCGGCTTATACTCGAGTATATACGGTATTTTTCTGACTCTTATTCATTTTTTTTTTCTTTTCTAAATATATTTTTTCAGGTAAACAATGTGTTTAGTATTCTGCATATTCTTGTGCATTCATTTTCATACAGTTCTGTTGTGTCTTCGCAGAATGCTAAAAGACAAATCGAGGTACTGCTGACTGAACTGACAGACAGCAAGGGTAAACTGGCATATGAAAAAGGAAAGCTGGAGGTAAGATGCTAAGTGGTTTCCTAGATTTATGTAACTTCAGTGGATGTCAAACTTTTAGAGTGTGTAGATGCTAATTCTGAGAAAGTGCATCTACAATTTATTAAAAGGCATTTAATACCGGACAGAGTACAGCGTATTAACATATAAATGCTTAGTTCTAATTATCTGTATTGGCATTGCACTTATATTTGGGTATCTTGTTTTATGCAGAGCAGAGTACGTACCTTACAGTCTGACCTACAATCTGTTTGTGATGCTCAGTTAGAGAATTCCAAGCTTCGTAAACTCAGTGGTGCTCTGGAGACCAAGTACACACAGGTACACACAGTTAGCACTTTTGCGATGTGTTATATGACTAATGAATAGCAATTATAGCTCATTGTTCGATTTTGATTGTTTGTATTTTTTTCTTGTAGATTACCTCAGAGCTTGACTCTCTCAAAATCAGACTGCAGAGAACAGAGGCCAAACTACAGCAGGTGAGTATCAGAAGGAGGTTTTGTGATTTACATCACAGTACTTTGTGTATATGCATTTTTTACATTTAGGGCTCATTCACATTGGAATCGGCTGGCACGTACAGCTCCGTGCTGCGTGCAGGGCCGTATCGAGCAGCTCACGGGAAGGACAGGTGCTGCATGTGATTAGTACGCAGCCCCCGTCCTTCTCTATGGGACTTCGCGGCCATATCCCCCCTACGCTCACCCGCCCTGCACGTCCGTGCGGGTGAGCGTACTTGTACGCTGACAGGATGGATCCTGTCTTCATCCGAGCCAGGAAACACGCACCACTACGGACCTGCACTTGAGGTGAGCGTAGGGGGGCGTACGGCCGTGTAGTCCCATAGAGAAGGATGGTGGCTGCGTACTAATCACACGCAGCACCTGTCCTTTCCGGGAGCATTTCGGTGTAGAAAACATTGTGTTTGGCAGTATAATGCAGAGTTATGTGTTTTTATCTCCCACAGACTGAGAACTTCTTGAATCGTAAGGAGGAAGACTTCACATTAGCTATCCAGGCCAGGGATGAGGCTGTCCAAGAAGAGAAAAAGCTTAGAGAACAGATCAAAGCTCTTGAGGAGAAAAAGGAGCATAATGTATGTAATACAGTTTGAGTATCTTGCTGTATTATGATAAAGTAAGCCATTTGCAGAGACAAAAAAAAATACACCTGTCTAACATTTGATGTGATATTGTACTTTCATATATTCCTTTTTTCAAAATATTTTTAATTAGTACTGCTTTATAACTTTAACCTTCAGAGAATGGTCCTCCAGCAGCAGCTGTCTGATGTCTGTGAGGAGAGAAGTAGAATGTCTGAAACTCTGGAGAATGTCTTGTCCTCCCACACTAAGCTACAGAAGAACTTAGAAAAACTTCAGACTGAACTGGGGTGCAGAGATGCGGACATCGTAAATCTTCATAAAGACCGGTACAGTAAAATATATCTCAGGTCTTTAAACTTGATCTCAAAATGAAATTGGTCCATAAATGTACTGACATGCTAATTGTACCTTTCATTTTGCTTGTTCTGTCCTCCCTTTAATAATTACTTTACCCAGTTCTCTGTCTATGCAGAGCTATGCAGGAATGCCTGTGACTACCTGGTGATAGGAGAATGGCCACCAGATCACCCTTAGAACTATGAACTAGTATCAACACATTCATTGATTGAGTTCCTTAATTGCCTGGGCCACCCTGTAGTCTTTTTAATGTTACACACTGTCCTAAACTTAACATTACTTTGCATCTAGGCAGGTGACAGCTTACTTATCTAAACTGGGCAGGAACCACAAGCAAGCCTAAATTTCTGATCTCCGTCCATCAATTTTGAATACTTCCTGGAGTACAAGCAAAGACTGTTACGAAATGTAGCTCATATGAGGAGGGTAGCGGTGTGATCATGTGCCTGAATCCTACTTCCTCCATGGCAACACTTCTGTTATACTGCAGCAACTACACATTAAAGGATAATTAAAGCCTCACAGGTTTTTGCATATATCTACTTTACAACACACACAGGGACCATGGGAGACACGAGTAGCCACCCTCCAGAAGGAAGGACAGTGTCAGCACCAATTCAGAGATGATTTGACAATCTACAGCTGATTGATACACAAATAAGATACATTTTTGTTAGTAGTTAAGGTACTTGAATTTATTTTTGAGGTTAACTCCGTAGTTTAGTGTCTTTAAACTTGTTACTATGCAGTTGTGGAGCTGGGAAATATTTAATATCTGAAACTGAGTTTGGTAGGATACCTGCATACTTATGCTTTGTTGCAATCACTCTGCATTGTGGTAAGCAAACTATTGCTGCATATTCTCAGAATGAATACTACATGGACTACATCATTAATTCACCTAGTCCTACTATTGCGGTGGTCTGCATCCAAGACCGATTCAATGTGTACATGTGGTTCCCTTGGATGTAATTTAGGTGCATTCATGCCTAAAAAGGCTACATACCCTTAAAGCAGGGGTGCCCACAATTTGTGTGTTAAGATCTACTTTTCAAATGACGAGCTACATGAGATCTACCAACAAAAAAAACCCCCCCTTGCTCTCGCTCTCTTGGCTGTCTCTCCTCGCTCTCTTGGCTGTCTGTCCTTGCTCTCTCTTCTGGCTGTCTCTTTTTGCTCATCCTCCTGGCTGTCTCTCCTCGCTCTCCTGGCTGTCTCTCCTTGCTCTCCTGGCTGTCTCTCTTTGCTCTCCTGGCTGTCCCTCCTCACGTTCTCTCCTGGCTCACCTTGCTGTATTTTGCAGACAGTGTAGTGCAACAGGCTGTGTAAACTAATATTCTTTGATGTAATACATAGCACTTCAACCACCAGTATCCACCAGAAAGGTATCAAGGAGCTTGGCTCACCAGACTCAGGCTAATAGGTAATCATGTGTGCACAGCTAAATAAATACCAAAATGGAATAAATGGGCCGCCATTCACACTCTTCGTGATCTACCAGCATCAGCTTTGACAGCTACTGGTAGATCACGATCTACCTAATGGGCACCCCTGCCTTAAAGTGTAGTTCCACTTTTGCAGCCAAATTGGGATAACACATATTTTATTTTTGTTATATTGTGTGTTCTCATTCACTCTCAAACTGCTCAGAGTAGTTTGGAATCTGCACAAAGGCCTTCACCAAAGAAATCCCTAAAAGGTAAGAAAAATATTATTTTTTCATTATTTTTGGTATGCTGTGTGAATGGGAACACATATCAAACATATAGTGGGGTTTTCTCAAATCTGACTGCAAAAGTGCAACTACACTTTACAATGGGGTAGGGGATTCCCCCCTCCATGCTTCTAGCGTGGATGGGGGGAATCAAGGAAAAACTCAGTGTATGGGCAGCTTGAGAGAAGCATAGCCTTCAATGTCCTTCAGAGAAATGCAAATTTTTAGATTATAACTAAAGAAAATGGAAAAATGTGCCATCAACCATTTACTGTGAATTGCAAAATTACTATGGGCTACACTTTTGTGCTAATTTTAGTAAATCATCCTTATTCAGGACAAATAGTCAGAAGCGGATTCAGAGACTGGAGGTGGAGCTTTCAGAATGTCAGAGGAGGCTACAGAAAGCTGATTCACAACAGCATGGAAAGGTAATTTAAAAGAATGCTAATTTTGTTATTGATTTCGATGCAAAATAAAACATAGATTTATGATTTTATTTTAATCGGGTAAATTTACTTATTGTTCTTACTTGGTTCTGGTTGCTAAAATAGTCCTGGCTGACTCAGAGGAGGGACCCACTTCTCGCTCTCTTGCCAGAGACAGCAACCAAAGTATGTTAAATAGCTTACAAAGGCTGCCAGGAAGCTTGCAGGCAATGCTGGGTTTTCCCTATTAAAAGCTCAGCATGCTTTGTAAACTGAGTGTCATGTATGCGCCCTGCAAAAATTCCGATTTGCGAAATAAAGATTTTAAACACATAATTTTTTTTTTTTATAAAATGCCATCTTATAAACTTTCACACACATTTAAAATTACTGACCAAAATGATTATCGTTTAACTTTTAAAAGAACCCTTTCCATTGTTTATTCTTATTCATGGTGTCAAACTTATGCCTTGCATTTCTCTCAACAGATAGAACCTCTTCAAAGATCCATAGAGATTGCATGGAAAGATAACCAGAAACTATCCCGTGCTCTGAATCAGGCTCTTCAGAGAAACTCTCTTTTACAGCACTGTGTAGAGGAACTGGAAGAGGGGCTTCAAAATAAAGAAGCACAGGAAAAGCAATTATTGCTAATTAAGTAATATGTTAACATTTAACAGAATAACACAGACATCACCTATATTAAGTACATTCATGTATTCTTGTTTACTTTTTTTTTTTAAGAACAAAAAGAACAGCAATTGTTTTATCAAAAAAAGAAAATTTACAATGCTTGCACAAGACTTTAAAATTCTGTATAACTATATGCATTGCCAGCTTACAGTCAGAAAATATATACAATGCTGCCAACTATGTACAATGAGGTTTGGTTATAGAGCCACATTTAAAAGTATGCAAATTATTCATATGTCATGAAGGTCTTATGAACTGACCTTTGTGATGTTGATCAGAACTAGCCCTAATTATAGAACTGGGCAGATTTAACAGGGTGCACTATCTCAAAGGCTGGACAAGTCCCTGGAGCCATGTAGACAAATGCACAAGATGTTAAACTGGTGCAGAAAGTGAACCTTTCCAAACAAAGTAAAGTGTTCACTTAGCACCCCTGACCCCAGCAGCTTATACTTTGCTTCCAGTACCCAAACTGAGTAACAGGCTAGTAAAGGAAAAGCAAAGAAATACCCAGTATGGGTGAGCATGTGACAGAGCTGGTACCTTGTGACTGGCAAAGTAATGTTACGTGGGGGTCAGAGGGGGGTCCATAGCCTTGTGTGAGCTTTTAACAGGGCTGTCTGGAGCTGGCACAGGGCTTGCTGTCCTGGCAGCCGCACAGAGCAGCTTCTACAATGTTAACTTTACACTGTTGTGCAATGAGTGGTTTAACCTTTCAACACTTTTTTTCTTTAGGAAGCAGGCTGACGAAGAGGTCAAAATGAAGGAGCATCTATTAGAGGAACACCTGACATCTCTAAGCAAACAGCATCAATTGGAGTGTAAAGAGTCAAAGAAGACTGCACGAAAAGAAGCAGCAGAGGTAAAGCAGAGTTATATAATAGTACCCCTAGCATTGTACAGTAAGACTGTAAAGATTGTTTGGAGAATTATACTGTACATATAAGGAAAAGGTTTGGAGTTTCAGTGATGCTCTTTAACTAGCTAAGTTATTAAAGAGGTTTTTTACTGCAAATTCTCAAATGTGTTATCACTGATATTGTGTAGCGGAGGCCCTACGGTAATCTGTGTTGGAGAGACGGGTCAAACTCTTTGTCAATGAATGGACCCCTACAGACTCACAATTAACAACAACAAAACAGAGTCCCCTGTAATGGCCCATTTCTGCAGCAGGGGCCACAGCATAATTATGGCACTGATGTGGAACCTCAAATCACAGAAAGGAAGGCTGGAATGGGAATGTTAAGTCATATAAAAAGTCATACTTCTAGACGGTGAACCTAAATAGAGACAGAAATGTTATGTGTCACTATGGTTTTAAATGAATTTTTGACCTGAAAATAAAGCCTCTCTTCCCTCAAGTCTACAATCAAAGGTATATGGACATTGTAAAAGGACTTTTATTGTCACTGAGGTGACACATTTGTCTGGAATTTTTATCTCCTAGTCAATTAACCCAAAAACACTCCTAAGCTCCACTAACTATAGATACAGTATATCCTATTTACAATATTCCCATTACTATTCAAGTGTCTTAAGATACGTATTTAGATTTCATTAGTGGTTGTATTTCATTACTTCAAGAAGGAAAAAGAAAAGATCATTTTGACTTTTATCTACCTTAAAAATCCTATGACATTAGATGCAGATGGTTTCTTGGAAAACAATTTGTATGGTGTAAAGACTATTTTGTCATAAAATACAATGCTTGTATCCTGTGAGCTAGTAGTGCGAATACTGTGAACTGTTTTACTTTTTTTTAATCTATTCAATAACATTGGATAACAAGGGGATTGAACATTTCTAGCATTGCCAGTTAAAAAAGCTTTGCAGATGGTGGTGTCCTGAGGTTGTCTATTTTTTGTCTGTACATATTATACTACCTGAATCCAACCCAACACTGTTGAAACTGCAGCTGTCATAGAAAAGGTAGATAAAATCCCTTCTTAGAAGAAATTCTGTTAGTTGAATGGGGATCAAACATTTTTTAAAGCATTAGCTTGATGTAAATTTTCTCATCAATGTGTTAAAGTGTATTTTTGTTAGGACAGCCATATTTCCTTGTTACAAATGCATCCTGTGATTCCTTATTAGTCAGAACAGAGATTGCTTTACTGTTTCCCTTCTCAGTGCAAAGCTGGCCATACACTTATATTATATATATCTGATTTATAAAATGAATGTTGTGATTTATAATTATAAATTCATTCATTATATTAAAATGCAATTGTAGAACAATTAATATCACGTAAAAACAAATATAATATACCATCTAAAAAAGCAAAGTGCACTGAAGATAGAGAGACATTTCCATGTATAGTATATACAATATCAGCATTAAAGTGTATCTGAAGATAAAATGTTTTGTTTCTGATAGAGTAGGGAAGGATCAGAACCTCTGTTGGGTATTTACTGCTGTCTGTGTCAATGCTGAGGAGCTTCTCCCTCTCTATTTGTCCTGATTGCCATTTTCACTGGGACTAAGGGCAGGTTTACACCATTTTCCAGACCAGATCTGGAACGCAGTGCATTGCGTTTGTGCCACGTTTTTACCGGGTTTGGAAATGATCTTTTTGCTTAAAATGGTCTTACAGGTGCTTTCCAGTGTGTTTGTATGTGTTCTTGATGCGTTTTTGATGCCTTCTAGTGCATTCCAGACCAGACAAAATAGGACAAGAAGTATGTTTCTGGTCAGGTCTGGAACAGACTGCGCTGGTGGGATACATTAGGATGCATTTTGGGTCCGGAAACAATCTGGTCTGGAGATGATCCGGACATGGTGTGAATGGCCCCTAAAACTCAGAGAAAATCCAAAATTTTAAGTTGTCACTTAAACAGGAATAGAGGGAAAATTGTTTATGTGACAGCAGTCTTAAGCTGGCCATACATGTAAAGATTATCTGCAGATGTTCTATGGACAGATAGAAAAAGTGCAACAGATTCCTCCATCTACGCTAAACTGTGTGGATGGAGGAATCTCCCACTGGGCCAAGCTTCAGTATCTTGCTAGTTGGCCCCACTGTCTCGCAAAATACCTGAACAATGCCTGCATCCAATCAGATTGTTTAGGTATTTTTAAAGCTCAAGACTTCTGACTCTTTAGAGCATATATTGTCTTTAATCAATGAGGTTTATTCTGCATTTTGTTTTATCTCCGCATTTGTTCCACAAGGATGTTTTTTGGCACTTGTTTGACATACAGATAGCAGCTAGAGAGAACATGAAAATATAAGCACAATTTTCTTTGAGTCACATAAAAATGACTTTGGATACAAAGGTATTTTATGATGGTTCTAAGTGAAAGCAAAGTCTCTGGGGTCCTTCAGACATTATTAACCTTCAGAATGTACTAGATCAATGTATCTTTAAAAAAGAAATCCGATGAGCAGTAGTGGGAGATCTCATTATAACTAAAAGAAGATCTGATAATTGGCTTCTTTGTTTTATGTTCACAGCTAAAGAAAGCGCTAGATAATGCCACTGCAAAATCAGCAGAGCTCTCGCGGACAAACAGAGAGCTGAGAACTCGGGAATCCATACTGCGAAAAGATATTCAGCAACAGAAGGATATTATACGTGGACTTAAAGCACAGCTCAGATGTTACACGGAGAGCAAAGGGTCCAGAAAAGAAGCAGAGAGAATACAAGTGGGTTAGAATTATTTTTAAATCATCTTCCATAACGTATTTAGCAAACTCATATTGTATATTTGCTTTTCCTTATATTGGAATTAAACTGGTAAAATGATCCACATCATTCTCTAAAGGTAGCACTGACTGCCCTGCATATACTGTATTAACCTGAACCTGTGCTTTTCCCATGCAGGACAAAGCAATAGGTCCATTTAATACATTTGCTGATCCATTTGCTGCTGGAAGCAAAGACAAACACTTGGTACTTCCAGATATATGAATCATGTAACTCAGACTTCTTTTTTCCATGTGATAATGCTGGTGCTTTGTATTTGGCCCAGTACTGTCACCTAGGGTGGCGAGTGAATCAATAACCCTGTTTAAGTTCAAACTGGGATCACTCAGAGCTCATGTCCCAATCCCCCCTCCTCAAAGGTGAGAAGTAAAGGGAAGGTAAGTATTAAATGATGTAGCGGCCAGCTTTAAAGTCAACCTTAACCAAAAGAGTGACCACACACCAAGTATTGCAGCCTTCAACAACACATTCTTTTTCTGGAGACATTCCGGAACCCAAAAAGGGCCTAATCATGGAAACGGGGGTAAAGGGTCACTGCCATTAAGCCCATTTTTGAGTGAAACACATCAGAGAGGAAGGTCCTAGGTGGGGGTTCATTGTTCACGTCTCAGGAGAAATAACGTTTTATTGAATACTGGAGTTCTCTGTGCGTATCCTGTTTTTGATTCTGTGGCCTTTGCTGTGGGAATCACAAACATGCTCCAGCACTGGTATCAGGCAGCCAGGAACTAGAGCAGCAACTTGTTCCTACTTGTGTTTAAAGTGTATCTGTTGCTTTGCCCTGCACAGCGTCACTATTAGTATTGTGCCTGTACACTTGATTTCTTGCTCCATATTTTAATAAGCATTTGAAGGTCTTTTGCACGTTGCCTTAATAGTTATCATGTTCCCCTCTGAAAGTAACAAAGATAACAAAACTAAATGTCATATTCTAGAGAATGCATCTTACAGCACTATGTACTCACTGCAGCTGATCCCCCTTTACATTCTTCTTACATGTGAATGAACTGATAGCTCAAGCCAAGCAGCATTTCATGTGCCTTTATTTTCAGGGTTTAGACCATTGAACATCTCTCTTGTCAGATAAGTGGGTATCCAAAATGCAATACATAAGTCAGGCTGCTTTGGTGACTGACTTTTAATGTTCTAGTGTACCCATGCACATGATTTGACAGTTACCCATCCAGGTAGTTTCAGCTGGGTCAGGCGACGATTTCATGTCTTTGGCTGTCCAACCAACCGGTCAGCCAGTTGCTGTCAGGTTAAAAAACCTGTCCTAAAACTCCAGTGATAGTTACTGCTTCCTACTCTGCCTCCCTATCCCGCATAGTGGTTACTTTTACAAATTCAGCCGAGCAGAGCTTACAAATTATGAGCATTTTGCCAAAAAAGTTCACTGAGGTTGACTGTAAGTGAGTGTTTATGATTGCCATTTAATGTCGGTGTTTAGTCTTAGGCTGGGTTCACACCTGGGCGTTTTTCCGCGCTTTCGTACTCGCGGAAAAACGCTCAAACAGGGAAATGCCATTATTTTCAATGTGCATGGTTCCCATCTGGGCGGTTTTCCGTGAGTACGAACGCGTGGGAAACCGCCCTACGCCCAAAGAAGTACATGTACTTCTTTGGGGCGTTTTGATCGGGCGTTTCCATTGGGATACAGCCAAGTAGCCCTCGGAAACGCGTGTTTTTCGCGCGGTTTTTTTGACCACGAATCGCGGTAAAAAACACGCGCGAAAAACGCGCATATTCAATACGCCTAGGTGTGAACCCAGCCTTAGAAAGCGTCATAGTGGTGGATGGAGTGACAACATGAAGATTACAAAAAAACTACTGCTGTGTCATTTATAATGATCTGCTATTGCCGTACATCTCTATTTGTTTACAGCAGATTAAAAAGTGATAGTTTAGTAACTTTTGTATTGAAAAATAATTTGTATATGACATAATTACCTTTTACATGAAGATCCACTCAATACAAATATTTTCTTGCATTAAAATTGTAAATTGTAGGTTGTGAGTGTTTTGGTGGAGGCAATTTGCATGTTCAAACTAACATACAGAACAATAGAGTGAGAGTGGCAGACCTATAATTTGCAGACTTCATAGGATTCCCGCCTTGGTGTGATTTTTCCACAATGTTTTTGAATACTTATTATGTTTTAAGTCAGATATGAACTATTCCAGTGCAATATTGTACTTATTTACTATTTCCAGCTTGCAGGAGGATGTGCGTGTTCTTTTTCACATTTACCTAACAAACCTTAACTGCTTTGGTGAAAAATAGACCATTTACAGAGCCGGAGTTCAAATTGCTTGTCCTTCTAAGTCAGTTAGATGACTTTTTCCTTCCTTCTTTCTCTCAGCTTTATATGGCTCTGTACAGAGTTTCAGTTTGTAAAATAAAACACCCTTACAACCCTATGGTGGACTCTGGACAGGTATGATTATTCATAACTAATTTTCAAGGCACATAACATCTTGTTTACTAAAATTTGTAACATCATATATCCATATCTCCTATGCACCCACTATCACAGGGATAGAAATGTATAAGATGTGCCTAGAAGGATGCTGATTCTTTGAGGGGCTTGTAACATCACCAAGCCTCCCTATCGTCTCCTGGTAAACCTGGGTGTTAAAAATCCCACAAGAATGCAACTTTATTTGTAAAAACATTATTTTTAAAGGAGAGGTATTGGGAGAGCAAAGTATACTCTTCCCAATACTTGGAGTCAGCAAGGGACACTGCAGCTGTCACACACCGTCTCTATAGGTGGAGAGCTGAGTGATTGTGTGACCGCTGATCACTCAATTCACAGTCTTCTTCCTACAAAAAACAGTGACTGTCAGTCGCTGCTCCCTGCAGGGTCAGGGACAAGGTAAGTGACACTTTTCTGTGCATTCCCGAGTCTGGCTCGGGGTTACCGCTCCTGGTATTGAAAATTAACCCAGAGCCAGACTCGGGAATACCGCCAGGGAGGTTAACATAAACAAAATAGCTCTGCTGGGTCCCAGCTAATCACATCCTTTCTTACAGAATTAAGAAAGACTTGTCCAAAAGGTCATATAATTTTATCACTGTGCCAGTTTCTGAATTAAGTTTTTGTGCACATTACACAGGAAGAAAGTACGATCATAATGCTCTACTCCCCAGCAAGCAGCAAGCATGCTGCAGAACTGAACAGTTGTGGACAGTAAATACCACCAGGAGGCTGGACTGTCCCATGGGCTAATGACACGCAAGCATTTATCCATTAATCAGTGTCACTGCTTAGTAGACCTCCTTTTGTTGGCTGTCTTGTGATATTCCTGCGCCTTACCACAAAGGTGACTTGCAATCTGTTTTTACGGGGGTATATTTTAGTTTATGTCAGTGCTTTATTGATATAAATTTTATCAGCTCCAACATTGGGAAAGCACATGCTACACAGATTTAAATCATAGTATTGATAGTGTTCCAGACACCTCCTTTTCGAACCCATTTAGGATATATCATTGGTGTTGCTATCCAAAATAGCTTTCGGTCAGAGGGGTTTCTGAGTGATCAGCATTGTCCTCCAGGAAGCTCAATTTGATCTTACACAAGGACAAGATTGTTTCAGGAGCAAGAACCTCCTTTTCTCTACCGTCCATTGAGCGACACAGCAACTCATGGTTATACTGCTGGCTAAACTAAAGGCATGCCCCTTTAAGGCAATAACCTTTCTCACCTCACACCTGCCCAATTTCGCTTAGAGCCCTCAGTAGAGTGGACTTCCCAGATAGCAAGAGATTGTGCTGCAAGTTTGAAAATGACTTGCTAAACTATTACAGACTTGCCAAGCTTCACAATTTTGTTGCACAATTACAGCAAGTCTGCATTGCAAATCTCCAGACCAGCGAGCTTGCAGAGCTCTTGCTAAGACCTGCAGGACTCTTGCTGTAGACTTGCCAAGCAAATTTGCTACAAGTTCAAAAAGTGTCAACTAGAACTTGTGCTGCGGTTGTTCTGCAAGTCTACAACTTGCCAGGAATATGTGCAGCAAGTTAACAAAATTACAATTTCACCCCGCCACAAGTTTGTAGCAAGTTATCCTTGCTATCTGGGTTGTTTTCTTTAACTCAGTTAGATTCATGCTGCATATGAAAAATCCTGGAAATCTCTCCAGTTAGCCATCAAGTGAGAATTTGCCAGTTCATAAACTGGTGTTCTCTCTCTGTGATAGTCTTGTGGTTGGCAGTGACAGCCTGGCAGTGTTCCAATGCCACAAGATTCCTTGCTGAGTGTCAAGCCCAGAGCTGTGGCAGTTCACCAACCCCACCTCTGAAGACTGCATATAGTGAGTGTGTGTAGTTGGCTATTGCTGTGTGTCTGTATTTTCCTTTTACTTATGGACCAGCAAGTCACCATGTGACTTGCTGGTCACATGGTGGAGCCCTCCTCTTTATTACCTCCAAATCAGGTTACAGTTTCAGAACCCATAAGTTTCTTTCACCCCCTTGAGCTCAGAGGGGTTTAATCTTCTGTGGTATGCCAAGGGATTTAAGCTTACAGATGAATATGCCACTACTTGTGGATCCACCCCACCTTTTCCAACAGCTGGGGGAAGACTGATGGCTTTCAAAGTGATTTGGAAAGCTTGTATAGCCGACACATGAGTGTGGGAGATGATATGATGTTTCAGTAACATCTGAAAAATCTCCTTTCAGCCATTCATAGATTTCGGTTCCAGAGGTTATTGTTTTCCGTTCCCTCTGCCTAAAAGTTACAGGGCTTTTACTCAAATCTGTTTCCAGTTTTAAAAACCCGAAGGAGGCTTTCGAGCTTCTCTACTCGTGTACGCTCTCTAAGGTTTCAGATGCAATCTATTTGTTTATTTATTGTTTCCCTTTATCAGGGAGATTTCTTGTCAGCCATCGACATATGTGATGTGTATTTGCACATTCGCTTCTTTCCAGATCATCAACGCTTATTTGCTTTACTCCGGTCAACAGCCACTATCGGTTTATGGCCTTTTTCTTTGACTGAGCCTCGGCTTCGAGAAAATTGACAATGATCCTCATACCAGTTCTGGATCTTCTTCATCTTAGACGTATTCCAGTTGTCAGATACTTGCACAACCTGCTGCAACGAGACCTCCTTTGGACTTTAATATGTAATTTATGTTGCAGATGCTGAAGACCTGAATAGGTGCTGAACTTTAAGAAGTCATCTTTGATTCCAT